GCTGGGAATATTTTGAAACAGTTTTTCTTTTTAATCAGGTTCGTACAGTTGTTATTGGGTTAGTTCTTAGTAATTCTTAGTTGCACTGCAGCATGTGGAAAAAAATACACTTTATCTTTGAGCAGTGGCTCATGGACGTGGTCGTCCCTCCATCGATTTTCTTACCTTGTTAAGTTCACCTTTCAGTTTTGCTTCTCCTCTTCTCTGTGCAGTCACAGCCTCCTGTGCCCGTGAGGACTCGTTACTAGCTGTTACTACTGTTAACTGTGCAGCAACAGCAGCTGCAACAACTAACTTGTCTGTTCATTTTGACTCATTTTGCTGCTTTTATTTTCAGTGTATTTTTATTTTTCTGTCTCAGCTTTTCACCACTTCATCTGCACTAAACTCTGTTCTACAGCCTGTGTGAGTGCACAGAGAAGGTGTGGGAAGAGCTGGTGGTTTAATTGGGCAACACGGTATCGGTAATGAATTGAAAAGTTTAAAGTTTAAAGCAGCACGAGGATCTGATGTGATGTGGACTGGAGTGAGATCATTTATGGAGGTGTTTTTAATAAGTAAAATAATTCATCATAGGATTTACAAACAGATTGTTTCCACTTCTTCACAGCAGAGTGGACCAAGTGGTAAAAAAGAGACTGGACGTTTATATGATGGTGTTCCTGCGTGGAGTGCTGCCACCAAGTGGTCCAAATGAGCAAATGTCCACAAAGAAATGTAAAAAGAATTATGAATAGAGTTTTATTAGTTTGATGGCAGTGCTCTGTCTGTCATGGTCCTGGGTCGTTGACCCAGTGTTTTGAGTTTATTGTTGTTGTTATTATTATTATTATTATTATTATTAGTGTTTGGGGGTTTTGGATGCTGGGCTTCTGGGTTGGTGCTCCCTCTGTTGGTCCCTGGTGTTAGTGTTCCCCTGTCTCGTCAGGCTAATCAGGTCCAGCTGTGTCTCCCACCTGTGTGTAATCTCCCTGTGTTTCTCTGTAGCTGTGTCCCAATTCAGTGTCTGCCCTGGTCCCATGTCTCTGTTCCCTCTGTTGCAGTGCCTGCATGTGAGTCTGTTGCTGTGTCCCAATTCAGGGTCTGCACGCTTGAAGTACGCATT